AAAGTTAAAAACTACTTCGTGTAAAATACTAAAATTGCAATACAAACAGCTTTTGGCTGAGGGCCTCCTGAAAATTCCTTACCGATGTGAAGGTAAAAAAAAAAAAAAAAGGAGGAAACAAGAGTTGAGGTATAAATGCCCTGTCAATCCAGTCATGTATTTTGAAACACTAAAGGCTAAAACATGGCCTTCAGATTCAATAGCCTTTGTTTTCAAAAAAGAAAGTTATGTCCACTTTGCTCCTGGTCGTTGCTCATATTTCGTTTCTTTTTTTTTTTTTGCAGGCAAACGACAACGTCTTTTGCGGACGGATTATCATGTTCTTGGCCCATTTTTTCCCTCTTTCAGAACGATCAGGTGCGCTTCTTCCTCCTTCTCCTCCTTCTCCTCCTCCTTCTCTGCCTCCTTGTCCTCCTCCTTGTCCTCCTCCTTCTCCTCCTCCTTGTCCTCCTCAGTCGACTTCTTCTCGGTTCCGGATATATTTCTTCTTCTTCGTGTTCTTCTTCTTGCATTTGTTTTATTTCTCCCCCTCTTCTTAATGAAACTAGAAGGAACCGGACTGCCACTCGCCAGAAGAGAACAGAACCCGGTCGGTGTTCTGTTCTATTCTGGCGAGTGGCAGTGTGGTTCCTTCTCCATTGGCAAGTCCAGTATACATGGGCGTCCACCTCACACTTTTTCAAACGTATTCATTGCTCTGCATTGTGAGGATTGATTGTCAGTTTGATCTTCTATTCCCTTCCTTTCTTTCTCTCTTTTTTTCCCCCCCTATTCCCATTCCTCTTAGGCAGTCCGACTGTCAGAACGGAGCCGCGACCACAAGGACCTGTTTGAAAGCCCAAGACATTGAAAGAGCGGGAACCTCACATGGTGCTCTCAAACAATGACCATAACTCTATGTATGGCATGTAACTCAGTCTCCTGATTATTCTGTCATGGGATGCTGGACCTGGTTTCCAGCAGGTGCAGCTCCCCATCAATGGAGCGGAGCCATCCAAAGAGCAGGGACAGTAGAGGGGATGTCTGCTGGTATCAGCACCGCCCCCTACGCTGGTCGCTCATGTTCAAGAGTGGGAATTCTGCCTTCACCGATATGAGTTCGTTTCACTTACCATGCATGTCTGTCTTTTTATTTTATTTTATAACAGAACAAAATGCGCCTTCTATTTAGGGGGGCTCAGCCCGGTTGCTCATCACCGGCAAGCATGTTTTTACATCTGAGAAGTGGAAGGGGGGAGAACAGACAAGACAGAGGACCAGCCCGTCCCTTGTGGCCCTAGACACCCGGCAAGGGGGGGACTGTTTTGGGCCAACCCTCCCCCCTCTCCTTAGCCTTTCGGGGGTTTCCCTACTGGCCGGGAGGCTTACTGGCAGCACCCAGTGACGTAGTAGGGCAGCCCTCGGATAGGCGGGGTGTTGGGG